GTGAAAACCAAGCAGATTGTTTGTTCGGAATCGGTTGCTCATGGTCCCATGTCCCATGCCCCATGTCGTGCAACAAGGCCTGCTGCCAAACCCCCAGTGCTTTCGAACGGGGCACTGAGGTCAAAGAATGCACAAACGCGGCCATAGCAAGTTGCCACTGTATTGTTGCGTCCAGCTGTTCAGGCTGAGCGCATCCACCATGCCGGCATGAACATTAGAACACCTAAGAGATTCAGTGCGGCCGACATTTCCTCAACCAAGAATCCTGTCCATGCAAGGAACGTTCACGGACGGACATGCTGCCGACCGGCCGACGGTTTCTTGTATAGTGCACGTGGCAACGCCACGCTGTTGAAGTGCGGATGCTAAAGTGGGTGACCGCACCGGGGATTGATCCGGGTACCTCCGGTGAGATGTCCCACCACCCTACGAAACCACCCGGCCAGCGGCAATGTAGGGGGCTGCCCACTGTACTTAAGTACACACACGAACAGCACCCACACCGTGCAGCACCCTGGCTGACGTCAGCGGCACATGCAATCGCGCATGACGCAAAAGACGTTTCTGGCATGGGTGGGACGCGGCCCCTTGCCCCCTTGCGGCGCATCGGATGAACACATCCGGACACCGTCTTCTGGCCTTCAAGTTCGGCCCAGCCGCGCGACACCCGGCGCGTCTGGCTCGCTCCGGCTGCCAGGACCATGATCGGCAGGTCCTACGGCGTGATTCTGACCGTCTCCATCGCCGCCGGGGCTTCCTTCGTTGTCGGCTTTCTGCTGATTGTGATCCCTGCAGCATGGCGGGCACCATGGTGTGGGCGCTGATCTTCGATTCCTTCGTCTCCTTGGCGACGGTGGCCGTTGCTCTACTGGGGCAGTTGTAACAGTGCACCACCCGGCTCATGATATTCTTTGGCATTGCCACTGTGCTGCTGATGGTGGAGATCCCCAAGTACAAACACTCAGGTTGGTGGTCACGGCTTGGAGCTCCCTACCGGGACAGCGATGACTGCTCGCGCAAGCTGGGCGCCGTGGCGGCCGGCGACAAAACGCCTGTTTTTCTCAACATGGCCGCGTTGCTTTCCTGTCCATGGATGCGTTTTGGTTCGACTGGCCTCTCCGCCTTGTGAGGCACGCGGGGAGGAAATGGCTGGGGCTGCGAGTGGTGGACAGGAGTTCGGACGAGGGAGTGGCAGCAACAGTGATGCCCCTGTGCGTGGCACCGGTAGTGATGGAAGTGTGGAGGGGCGAGGTGTGCTGGCTGGAACCCTCAGAGTGGGAGAACAGTGAGCAGGCAGCCATTCGGCCGCCGGAGAGTAGGACGGAATGACAAGGGGCGCACAGGAACATGAGAAAGGAGCGGAAGGTCGCGCTGGTGCGGAACTGGGCACAACCCAGAACTTGCAATGCTGCCTGGAGTTTGCAGATCATATTCAGATCCCAGAGTCTTCAGGGGCATCCAGAGCACCCGGGTCGAATACAGAATGCTGAGGTTGCCAGTAATAGCATAGGCACTGCCGTTTTGGTGGGAATACTCTGGACAGGTTGACATGCACCTGAATTTTCAAGATATATTTGTTGCTAACACGTTTGTTGCACAAATCACCTTTTCCCATCCTTCAACGCAGACGTTCACGGTGCTTGGATGGGAACAGAATAGCCCATGGCAGGCCTGGGCAGAACCGCAGAATTTGGCTTCTTTCGAGTGACCATGTAATTGGAGTTGTAGCTAAAACACAGGGACACAATGTGCCAATGGCAATGGCCAAACACAGGGACAGGTTTTTGCCCAGGTTTGTTACTTACGCCGTAAACACAGATCGTATTTACGGTTTTACGCATAAGAACGCATAAAAATACGTAAATGCAACGTGAATACAGCCCCGTGTACATAAGGATAGCACAACAAGCTTAAGGAGTCCGAGGAGTGACAGCCAGATGCCCTGGAATGAGTAGAAAACGAATTTTTGTTCCATGCCGTCGTCACCCATGCTGAGAGCGAGGTGGGTGCTGTGTTGCGGTTGTTTGAGGGGGCGGGGGGCTGATCGTTGTGCGCGACTTTCATCGTGTAACCCGGGTGCCACAATGAACCGTAAAAATGTAAATACAGACGTAAAATAGCCTCTGCTGCAAATTTACGTTTTTCACGAGTAAAAAAGTAAACGTTAAAAATAAACGCAAATAACAAACTTGTTTTTTCCTCAGCATGTGACAACAGCAACTTTGGCGGGGGGGAGGCGCTATATAATATATTAGATAGCTCTGTGCTTGTCGAGTTGAGCTACATGGTGTTTCGACATCTTGGACACTGGATACCATCTTTTATAAGGCAAAGCGGACTGGGACAGTGAACTGTACAAATCCTTCAAGAGTCCATGACCAGCGTTTGGGTTACAAATAGATGGTTAGAGTGCTCCCCACAACGCCAGGGCATAATCTGGTCTTTTTGAGACATACAACCACCCAACGGTGCACGGACTCCATCAGACACTTGAGTAGTTGATACCTGCAAGATATAGGGAAGTACAGGCTGGAGAGAAAGTGGGAGTCCCCGTTTCTAAAGCATTCCGCCCCGATGGCAAAACGTTTGTGCGATTGAGCCCAACACATTGAACATCCAGATTTTCATGCCGTGCCTGTGAGTTCACAGTACTAAGGCATCAAGCAGCCGCTTCCAATTTGTATTTGGTGCCAAGCGATAACGGTAAGATTAAGTGGGCACTGATGGGGCATTTCTTTCTCTTTTGGAACTACAGTACACAGCGATGCTCTCGAAATTATCACCTCAACACAAATGGAGACTGTTTTTTCTCAAGCTAAAAATGGGCAAGTCGTATCGCAGCATTTTCTTTTTTGCATTTCCACCATCCAAGCTGCCGAGTGGCCACGTCTATCATCTTCACCTTTCACATGAACTCACCTGATGGTGCCCTGTTTGTGATATTTGACCACATTGGCATCGGATTTCGCAGCTCTTCGTCGGCAAAGACTCTAATTCCTGTCCTGTTCCCCGCATATCCTTCACATTCTTTCGCATCCCATATTTGAATATACCAACACCCTGGGTGCAGAGTGTCTACTTAGACAACCCACAATGCTCAAGGAGAATTACCAACGAGAGCACAGCTGCACCATGTACTCTAAACAATAGACATGCTCGGTAGCTCGTAGCCAAATTTCACAAGAGTTTCTAGCGGCAGGCTCCGCAGCATGATGTTCTGGGAGCAGGAATGTTTATTTTCCTCTTCGACAACGCGAGCATGGAATCGCAGCAGCCTACCAGATATTCCAGTCAAACCAACGATCTGGTTGCTGGCCCTGAGGGAATTGAGATTTGGGCTCGTATGCATGAGCTGTGACTTACGAATGCACGAGACAAATATCCACATTTTCGTTGTATTCTGTTTCCTAATTGTCCCCTTTGGGGAGCGGGTGTCCACCAATATTTCAGGTAGTGATAAGTATCCACATGTGGGTCTTGCTGTGAATGTACAATCACACCCATCATGCTCATCAACAGCAGCGAATACATTTGGCGGCTTGATTAAATTCATGATTCGTGATATCCCTGACTCCGGAACCTGTGCATTACTATGCATTTAACGAGTAATGCAGCACAAATGCTCTATATTGCTTCAGCACAACATCAATTGCGCTGTTTCAAAAATGATATAGTGTTTCTTTTAAATGAAAGGTCTATTTTTGACTGCACATGTAGTCTCTTGCCCAGCTCAATCCTATCTCGATGAGTATCAGGAATCTAACGATAGGGAATGCCGTGCATTTCGGTCAAGGCTGGTCAGCTGGCCAGCTGACCCGTGGGTACAAATTGCCACGATTCGGCGCAATGCTGAAAGGTAAGCGATGTTGTTGATGGACGCAGGGAGGTGGAATGCATTGTTGCGCGAGAATGCGCGGGTGGGTGGAGATCACGAGTTCTGGGGATATGAACAGCCTGGCGTCGACTTGATTTCCACCAATCAACACTGCTAGCCCAGTCTGTTGAAATCGCTTGTGCAGACGCTATCCAGGTTGCAGCATCAGGTATGCTGGGGAACCAGCCCCATATGGCCGGACATTACTTTGTTATTCATCATAAAGAATTCTTACCCATCAAGGTGATGAAGGAAGCAGCCATATTCAAAAGCTATTGACCATGTTAACATGCATGGCTCGGATGAGCTCGACGTGGGTGGGTACAGAGAAAACGGCACTGTCGGTCCGATGGAGAGAAAATGGAGAGACTGAATGTTTGCACAATTATCCTGTTGGAGGGCCCCGGTTGTTGTGTTGCACCCAGGTGGGTGTAAACCCTGTGAGTGCATTTGTAGAAAAGCGACAAAGCACCGCCGTGTGTCCCACTGGCTATTCTGTTTGTCATGTTTGTTTGTTATGTTAACAATTTGTTTGTTATGAATAGACACTGCTTTCTCGGGCAAAATAGGGAGCTGACGGCCACATCCTTGCCCTGATATGTAATGTTTTCTGAATGAAGGAGTGAACTCGATGGTGATCTTGCAGTTCATGACCACCCCTCGAACCGACGTGCAAGATTTTTCGATCGATTGCTTGATCCTGTCGTGTTGTCATGATAATCACTTTTTACAGAACAAGGCAATGAGGTAGCCGTCAGCTTCCTATTTCGCCCCTGCAAAGCAGTGTTCCTGATCAGTTCATTGAAATCTAATGTAAACGCAAACAAGGTCTACGAATTTATAAACTCCGGTGCGTGGTTGTCGGTGACAATACATCAAAAGAGCTGTCCTCGCCAGTTGGCGAGCAGGAACCGAAGCAAAGAGTGATTTTGCATCTGCAAAATCGAAATCAACGGATGTTGTCATAGCCTCTCGTGTTGTCTGCGTTGCCAGGGAGTCCGAGCGACCCCAGCGACCCCAGCGACCCCAGCGGCCGGAAAGATGCGCCAGGGATATGCGGAAATGGAAGTCCAAGTGGTCTCCCCCCCGGAGTTAATTGACAGCTGTCCGTGCCCTGCCCGCACGGATGCTGACGAGTCGCGGCCGCCTGGCGGGCCAAAGCCATCACCGGGCGCTGCGGTCTTCAAAAAATTTTGACCCCTTGACGCGCGGCAGACGGCGGGACCCCAACTTGTCGCAGGCGGCCCTCCCCAAGGCGGACGCCGACCGAGCCGGCGAGCGGGCGCGAGGCCCCGTCGCGCGCCGCGCCCGGAAGCTCGATCCGACAGAGGTGCGCGGCTGGTGCGGGCATGCGGCCCTTCGGCAGGACATGTGCCCCAGGCCGGGGCGGGGGCGCGTTGCCCGCCTCGGCCTCGCGTCGGGCCGCACTGCCGGCGGGAGGTGGCGCATTGGAGTTGCGTTTGCTGGTTGCGGGCGCTGCGTGGTTGGTTAGGCCGGCGCGGAATCGGCGGTCATGGGGCTTCGAGGGTGATGTCTGCGCCCAATGGGCGCTGCGCGCCAGCTGCTGTCTCGTTGGGGTGTTCTGGGCGTTTGGGCGCTGTTCGTCTGGGCGGGTGTGAAGCGCGAGGGGCGTCGCACGCGCAGCGGCCGAGGAGAATTGTCGCAATGGTCCCGTTTCGGCGTTCGAACGGTATTGGAGCCCTGGACAATGTGCCTGGATTGGTTGACAATTTGGAGCCCCGGAGGCGCATCAGCAATTGGCGGTTTGTCGCCGTCCTGCTGCCAGCGATTCTGAGCGACCAGGTCTTGGCAACGAGTTCTTGAGGAATTATACTGGTGGGCAGGAAGGAGGGTTCTCTTAGTGAAGGAAGATTCCCCTTTTGCCTTTAATCATTCGGTTGCTCTGCACGCTGATCGCCTTGATCGTGTGGTTGAACTGCCTGCGCTTCCTCGCGCGAATGGACGAGGAATGTTTGGGATTTACCCGTCAATTGGTGGAGCCCTACACATGTGTGAGTGCTTGTTTGTCCCCCAGGTTGCTCTGCTGTCAGCATGATCATGGATGTCAAAGGGCCATCTCCGGCTGAGTTCCTGGATGGTGCTTTGAGGATAGGAGTCGCCAGTGAGTGGAAACTGGGATTTGGTTTGGAGTAGCAACATGATGTGAAGGGAGGAATGGCGGTTGCAGTCATGCAGCGCTGTTTAGCTGGCTTTGATCAAACCCACATCACACAACTTGAGTGTCCCATGCACAAAGTGCAGGCTCTCTGCAATCTGAGGGCTACCATCGTTTGTCTGCTATTGCACAGCCAGCCATTTGCGGCAGAGTTCTTATTGGCAGTGCCTGGTTGCGTTGTCATTAATGTTTCAGCCACCTACTGGGCGCATAATTCAAGCAAGCGAATCAACTTTCAAACGAAGGGCTTACTCCTCAGCTTCCGCTGGCAGCCAGTCATGGCACTGCTTGCTGATTCTATGTGTTTCCGCAAATCCAAGCTCAGCCAGATGAATGTGAGATCTAGTGACCAGATTCCTGGCATCCTGAGATATTCAAAACGCCTTTGTGCCGACCTCAGCAAGACACAGTCACTCTCAATGTTGGGAAAGAGGTCAGCTTAGAACCAAGAGGTAAGTGTTGATTGGGTCCTTGATCGCAGGCAAATGAAGACGGATTTCGTGGTCAGCGCCTGGGAACTGCAGTCTGGGCTGTCCGCCTGGGGCCCCTACCTTTCCTCTTCACTCCCCCGAATGCCCTCGCACATCGCTATCAGATAACCAGTCCTGCCCATTCCACTGAGAAAGTTTCATTGATCGGTGTTTCCAGGTTTGTTCTTCCTGTCAGTCAAAGCAGCTCTCATTGTGGGTCCTGGACGGAGAATGCTTGAATCGATAATCTCTACCAACAAGAGGCTGGTGACAAAGCAAGTGTCCCATCTGGTCAGCCAGACAGCGAGCAGGGTGGTTGGTTTCCTCCACAATGCCATTCAGGTGTGCCAGTGTCCACATTGCTGCATTGACACTTGTCTCCAGGCTGTGCGGTGCATTTTCAAAGTGATTGGGCAGGTCCTCGATCTAGATGTATTCGTTTCCCAGCAGTTGAAGCCTGGATTTGTAGCAGCACCAGTGTTCTTGGAATTGTGGAAGCATGCAGCTCGCCATGGTATTAGTTGAGTTGCGATCTCTGTTGTGTTTGCGAGCTTTGAACTCCAGGTTCTGGTGTGCAGCAAGGCAGCACTTTCTGACTGATGCTGTTGCAGGCAATGTGCAAATGGACAGCGTGCCTTATTGGCTATTTTAAGTACACATGTAAGGAACGAAATCTGCCTGTTCTGCCTGGCACAAGGGTGGCACCCTGATGTTGGGCTGTGCGTGGCACTCATAACAGTGGTTTGCTTGGGTGCGCTGCGCGAATCCTCAATGAACACCCTGATCAGAAACTGAAGAGTCACAGTCATGCACCACGAGTTGACACAGGGTGTTTCCTGAAGTGTTCTGACCAATGCTGTCCATCTGGTCGCTTCAACTACTGCTGGTGTGCTGCCTCCAGGTCCCCTTCGCTCTGTATCTACTGAGCGATGAAACGATGCAGAGCGACCATATTTATGCGTTCACACCCATGAGCCAGTTGTGCATGTGCATCACAGCTGGGTATTTCCTGGTGGATCTGCTCATCTGCATCTGGAAGTACCACGAAGAGGGTCCCCTGTACCTCATGCACGCAAGCTTTGCCTTCGTACTGTTTGCGCATGGTGTCATCAGTAACTTGAACCACTACTATGGTGAGCTGCCTGTTCTGACTGGATACGTTGTGCACATTTATGTTCTTGGTGGGACCTCAATTCACAACCAAGCACTTGTCTGCTGACCTGTAGGAATTCAGCGGGCTTTCTTTGTAAATATATATTTCCTTTTGCCAGTTGTTGCTTGTGTGGATGCTGCATTTTGTTTGGATATCGTTCATGCCAGGTAGCTTCCTTTGGTTGGAGGCCGGCATGCAAAGCATATCTTGTAAGGCACTATCTTGGTAAGATGCTGAGTTATGTTGTGGTTGCTGTTGTTGTTGTCTGTTCCTTTACTGTGGTGGCTGTCACTTGAGGATGCCAGGATGGACCCAAGCACCCATGTGTACATCGAGTTAGTGTTGTAGCCCTTTTACTGAAAGTTTGGTGAGGCTGCTGTGCATGTTGTGAGAGATGATGCAGATTTTCCCTACTGCAACAGGAAAACACGCAACCCTTGGTAGCATGTGTATGACATTATTATGGAGCTGTAGTCTATTTTGCTTTTAAAAAACGGCTGCTTAAGTAGTTTGTGTTTTGGATTGAGGATGCACAAACGAATATGTAGACAACGACTTCACCAATAGGCTACAGCTCTGACATGCAGATAAAACTGCACTCAGGTGGCCCACGTGAGTTGAGGTTACCATGCTATCACCAGTCATATTACTTCCTGTGCCGAACCACCACTGCACTGTACATACACTGGGTATATATTACATACACTGTGTAAGCATACATGCACCACTGTGCATGTACACTAATAGCTGCTGTACCTCCCCACCTTCACCAAAAGACTACAGTGAGAATGTTCTGCAACCTTATGGACTGCCACATGGCCCTGTGTGGAGCCTGTGCTTGCGCGGTTGGTATGCCTGCCATTGCCTGTGAGATGCGAGGGCAGTGTTTCGTATTGTGTGGAGGTGTGTTGGGCAAGGAATTCGCTGTGTGGACGCAAATTCCTTGCATCTCAATGCATTGATGCTGCAGGTGCCGCTTTCCTTATGTGGGAGGTTAGCACGCCATTCGTGCACCTGCGTTGGATTATGCACAAGATGGACATGGGCACCACAAAGATCTACTTCTACAATGGACTTCTCATGCTGCTCACCTTTTTTGGTTGCCGCTGTGTCTGGGGCATGTGTAAGTTCCCGCTGGATGTGCGCAGGACTGGTTTGAAGCGGCTTGTTTGATGCGACTGCTGTTGGTTGCACTGATTGCATGTCCACCAACATGCACCCAACGATGCACCAGTAGATAACACTCTTGGCACATTCCGTACTGTACACCTGTCCCTAAGCCTTTCCTGTGCACCTGACATTTAGTGCAGCTGTGGAGGTAGCCTTGGTACATTTATGCTTGTGTTGCTGTCTGTGATTATCATACAAGGGTGGAATGGGTTGGTTTTGGAAATAGGGCTGTGTGTGGCGACTTGCGTACTGTTGCTGAGTCCCACGCAGTGTTACGCTCTCACAGTGTTGATGCCAGCACCTATTACTTGAGTACATTGAAGCTCTGTTGAGTAACAAGGCCTTTTCAGCCATTCCCCAGAGAGTGCCAGCCACCAAGCACGCTGCTTAGCCCTCCAAAGGGCTCATTCTAATGCAAATTTGGCCATGATGTAATGTGCATCGAGACCATGCTGTGTACCACCGATACACAGCGTCCGTCACGAGGTGCCTCTGTCCCCGGTGCAAACAGAACAGTGGTGCCGATCATCTTCGACGGACCTTGCCGAGCAACACGAGCACCGCATGTTGCAGGGCGGGTATCTCTTCTGGGCATTGCCTGACTGTCGTTTGTTGAAAACAGGGGTTTCATACGACTTCTGGGCAAGGACTGCGCGCGAACTTGTGTCCCCAACCCCTGGTGGCTTCCCACCAGTTTGGGCGTACATCTTCAGGCTGGCGAACGTGGCACTGACAGTCCTCAACTTCTACTGGTTTTCCAAGATGGTGGCAAAGGCTGCTGCTTTCCTTGTGGCGGGCGCCGCAGCCGACCAGAATATGCAAGAAAAGGGTGAGTAGTGAAGGCGGCGTTTTGTGCGTCGATCCTTGGGGGTTGGATAGGCAAGTTTTACCAGTTGAGCAATTGACCCGGTGTACTGGCCATGGTGGTTGCGGGTGACTCATTGTACTGCGGAGGATTTTACTCTGCTGGGGTGTGCTGAGGATAACGAGTTCCGCTGGAGGACAGCCCCTGTGATGACATTTTTGATCGCGCGTTGAGTGTGAGCTGCAATGGCCACGCCACACCAAATGTTTTAATAAGGGAACGCCACTGGCACTAGACCCTGTTTTTGTTGCTGCACTGCGTTATAAGTGGGTGACTTGCGTCAAGAATGGGGTGGAGCGCCGAGCTGGTGAGCGATTCCTGTGGAGGTGTCAGCACCTCTGAGCAGTGCTGCTTGTTGGCCGTTGCTGCTAATCCATAAAGTTGAAGAAATTATGTCGCTGGGAGTGTCAAGCACACAATGGAGCTTTCGAGACGTGTCTGAACGTGGGCGCTTCGCTGCATGGCTATATGCAAGGCGCATATCAAGTGGACGTGTGTGCCTGCGAACTCATGACACACAAGGATGATGGACTAGTAGATGGCGCCCTTTGAGCCCGTCATGGCATTCAATGGCCATCAGAGTTTCCTCTACCCGCCTTGTTTGCAGCGTGCCACACATGCCATATGACGGCCAGCCAGTGCTGGTGCCATGCGTGCGAGAGTACATCCTCAGTTTGGGATACGATGTGACATAGCCGTTCAACAATGTTCTACTTCGTGGCGCTTATGTGCAGATGTCGTTGGGTGCATAAAAGTGCGTTCCCTGCAACTATCGACTTGAGTGTCCACCAGTGCCAATTGGAAATCTAGTGCTGTGGAACCCACAGCAGATATGGTGCAGTGAGCTCAGCTGGGGCTCCGCAAAGCCATGCCAGTGATCGAGCATATGACAAAATGGCCTTCACCTGCGCATACAAGGCTGAGAAAGGGATTTGAGCACACCGCAGGCAAGTCCATTTGCAGTATGTCAGTGTGGGAATTCCAGTGGTGCTATCCGCATCTTTGAAAAGGGAGCATCTACCTCCCTGCTGCCTTTGCCACCTTGTACCACAGTTGGAAGCTGATCCATCAAATTCCTCACACTGAAGAACTGGCAATGAGATATGCGACAGCTTTTCTTACACTCAGTGGAAGTGTATGTCTCTAAGAGACAAAAGCCGTTTTGGATACGACGTCCCCTGCAATTTCATTTAATCTAGCATGCACAAACCTATATCATGGCCGTTGCTCAACCGTCAAAATCAATTATGTCCTTCTGTCTAGCCGCATCGCCTTGAGCGATGCCCTGGCAAACACTCCAATCCATCGCCCAGTATCCTGTACGGCTACCTGTTTTCATCCACCCGCAACAGGCATTCCTATTTTCCCAGCTGAATGTTCAAACCGCAGCTGTGCTTCTCAAGATCTGCAAGAGAGCTGGACAACACATACAAACCGGATATCAGCCACAAGGGGCACAGATTTGTTCCAGATCAACAATTACTGGTCTGCAAGCAATGCCTGCCTGAGCATCAGAGCCCAACTGCGTGGCGAAGATTTGTGATTTGCGCACGTAGGATTGTGCCATGCAAACAGCAACCCCTCCGAGCAAGCACTGTGCAAGACTCTTTCCTTCATACTGCCGGAGTAGGCCAACACAACAAGATCAAACAGAACCTGTAGCAGTGCCACACACAGCGACATGAATAGCAAGGTACCGGGTGGTTGTTCTCCACCGCAAATGCAAAGGCCCTTCCTGTGCCCCACGACGACCTCTCCGTTTGTCGCAAGGTATCTCAAACCCTCTGGCCTGAGCTGCGTCGCAGCGTCCGTTCAAAGTCCAACGCACCTGAGCCAACCACGACGAAGAGGAAGAAGCCCAGCACGACTGGCCCCACCGGCAACCTCTTCTTCTTCCTCTGCAGGGCAGCAGCAAACACGGCGGGGTCGGCCACATTGTTCACACCTGGTAAGCACCAAGACGCGCCAAGACACACACAGCGCCACGCCACATACCCGCCATTCGTCGGGTCCGCAGGTCACACCTGATAGTCGGTGACCAAATCTGCCGATCCCCACCCACCCAAGGCGGTTCGACACTCCACGGCCCGCACAGTGGCAGCAACGGCAACGGGCCAGAAGCAATTCCAAACGCGCGGACAGCAGGCGATCCACCACGGATTCATCAGAAGCCTGCGTGAGTTGCGAAGCTCGGCAAAAGGGACTCCAACCAAAATAATTGTCAAAATTGGCAACCAGATAGAGTGGACTGTTGTGCTATCCGCCTGCATAGCACCCTGCATTTAGCATGGGCTTGTTGTGGACTTGTTGGTACGCTGAATAAAGTACCGTTGGGTGGGTGGGGTGGGGTGGGGGCGTGCAAGCGCCGGGCGCGCCCCAAAACCGCGACATCTACACCCAGACGACGACGCAGAGGGCATCTACACCCAGACCCTCGGCGACGCAGAGGGCCCGTCAACAGCACCCGGCAGGCCCTCGAGCTGGGCCTCGACCCACCTCCCACAGGCTCTCCGCCACCGCCCCGCGGCGCGTGACGTTGTTGTGGAAGCGGTCACTCCTGTAGGCCTGCATGCGCTTGGAGGCGGTCTGCGGTCACACACAGCGGCCGTCAGCGATCCGTCCGCGGTGCCGCACTCCGTTCGCTGGAGCTCTGATCGTGGACCTTCGCGGTGAAGCGCCACGGCGAAGGAGGGCGGCAAAGGTGCCGAGGCGCACGCACCATAATGAGCTCGGAGGGTTGGGCCGAGGCGGGCGGTGGCTTGGGGAGGAGGGCTGGCGGGGGGCTGTTCACACCTGTGCTCTGTGCCTTGAGCTAATTGTGCGTGACTCGCTTCGCGGCCGCGGGCTTTATGGTGGGTCGGGTGGGGGAACCAGGGTGAGAACCTGCTGCCAGCGTCAGCAGGGATGATGTTGGGAGGCAGCCGGTGCACGCGGCGTCGCCGCCGCCCAAGAACTTGAACAACTTCTTCGAGTCGTGTTCCGCCAATGTGGAGCTGGTTTTACGCACGGGCCACACGTTTGAAGTGTGATTCGGCATTGCCCAAGCCCACTGCTTGTTAACGCTGCAGTTTGTCATGGTCTTGTGGTCGTGGGATTCGTCGGGTCCGTCCTGACCTTCAGAGCACGACATTCCGAAGACGCCCTGGGCCCCGTCTGTTGGAGTCGCGTGGATCAGCACGGCCACAGCGGGAATACAATGTTCAGTCCGGGTGCTTTTGCAGTCGTGCCCCCATCGTGGAAGGTGCCGCCTTCTGTGGTCAAACACACCTCGGTGCTCTGCATCTGTCAGTGCATTGGCACTGCAGGCAGGTGGAAAAGAAAAGGTGCACCTGCAGGTGGCTCAGCGCGCAGCGCAAGCATATTGTTGACTGCAGCACACACTGCGACTTCTTGTGCAAACAGCGGTGGTGCACCATGTGATCAGTGCCCCAGCTGAGCCCAGGTGTTTTGCAGCTCTTCATCTGTCAGGTCGCAGCGCACTTCAGACACGGCTAAAGAACTGCTGCCACAATTGCATGCACACGACCCAGGCTACTTCGCTAACCAGTGGACCTGCTTCATTTCACAGTCAGTTGCTTCCATTCTCACACAAACCAATTGCACAATTCCCTGCCACCAAAAGCGGCATCTCGCTACTGCTTTCGGAATGGGATGAAGTCTTTGCCACCCATAAATGGCTGCAGCTCCTCTGGGATTCTCACGCCCTCCGGCGTTTGGTAATTCTCCAGAATGCAGCAGATAGTTCGCTCCGTTGCTGTTAGCGTGCTGTTCAGCATATGGACATGCAGCTTCTGCGGCTCTGCTCCCACAGTGGTCCCACTCCTGAGCCTCACATCCAGCCGTCGTGCCTGCAGTGCAAAGAAAATCACAATTGCCTTGTCATGCACAGTTATCTGCCAAATAGGTGCATGGTCCCACCATCTTCCACGACACAAGTACGTTTTTCGCAACATTGATAAGGTACTCAAGGTAGATTTACAGTACAGTGTAATGTGACAAAAAATGTCCATGGTTACCCTGGATGTTGCCAAAATGTGCTGCAGATTACAAAACACAGAGATTTTCAACTACACATACTACAAACGGCTTTCACAGCACCCATCACCTGGGGCAATCCCCACGTCAATCTTGAGAAGGCTGTCTTGCAGTGGGACAATATTTTGCTGACACTGTTGTGTTTTCTTGTCACAGTATTTGCACAACAGGGTAGCTGGTTGCGTCGCCAATTCCGGGTCAGGCTCGTGGCCTTGTCCCATCACAGCGATTGCCAGAATGCACCAGTTTGCAAACACCATGGTGCTCAAAATTATCAGGTTGGACTGTAAGGTTTACATGCAGCATCGCAGCGACTTCTGCTGACTGTCACCGGAGTCGTCCCTAGATCCCCTGTTAGGCAGGTGCATGGGTAACAACTGGCACAAATTTTCTCCTTGGCAGCGACAAGTTGGAAGGGGACAGCACCTGGACTGTCAAAATATGCTGTCGTACTTTGAAGCACAACAGAACAAGTCAAATCCAATCTTGCCCAATCTTGCCAATCTTGCTGTCAATGGTAATTCTGCAGCTTTCACACCTGGTAGTCAGTGCAATTCGAGCAGCTGACCAATTCCCTGAACTTGCCCAGGCCGGGGAACCAGGCCTCCAGGTCATACTTCTTCGCAGCCGCATTGTTCAGCTCCCCAGACACAATGTTGACCACCCGGTATGGAAGTCCCAGCGATTGAAAAAAATCCTCAGAGTTTGCGAGCATCTCCTCCATCAGTCGCCAAGACTCATTATCATCTGGGGAGCACACGATGAACTGCTCGACTTTCTCAAACTGGTGCACCCTGAAATAACCATCATCACAGCCATGGAAGGGTGAGAATGCACTTATGGTAGCAGATCCTCGGGAATCCCACAAACAGACAACTTGAAGAAATGTTCTATCATTGCATCTAAATATCAGTGTGTCTCGGTGGCAAGCACTCTGGTCTGCAGCTGAGCATCTGCCTCAAAGGTTCTGTATCTCCAACTTTGGCTGCTATCCACATATTTAAGCATATCTACAGTGCACTATCCAACTGCAACAACAGCCGATTGCACATGGCCTTTCTGTAGGTACTGAACACCGTTCGAGAAGCTGTCCATTACAGTGCACGATCCATTAGCAATAATTGGTGGCCCTTGTCCTAACCCCATCAATTAATAGGACGACAACACAAGAATTCTATACCCATTAGCCTCGCAGCAATAAAGCAAGGGACTTGCACAGCATTGGCATCTTTCAAAGCCACCACCTCAAATGGACATACCAAAGCACCACTCCTACAGCCATCATGGATGCCATACACACATCTGCTTCAGATGGTCAATGCTGGTCCCATTTTGAAGATGAGCTTCAAGTTTGTAGACATACTTCGTATTAGGCACTCAACAGCTTGGGACAGGGACGCTATGCTGAGCCTTGCTGCTGTCTGATGATCAACAGCTCACTACCCACACACATACCTGAAGATCCCAAGTGTGTCACTGCGAGAACCAGCTTCTTTCCGGAAGCAGGTAGAGTACCCCACATATTTGATCGGTAGGTCCTCCTTGTCAAACCACTTCTTCCGGTGGAGTGCACACAATGTCTGCTCTGAGGTGGCAATCAGGTATTTATCATCGCCCTCTCCCGTGACCTTGTACAGCTCCTCGTCGAACTGGCTAAGTTGAGAGCACTCGCCCATTACATCTTTCACCATGAAGTAGGGGGTCTGTATGGGCGTGAAGCCACGCTTCATCGCAAACTGCATTCCATAGTTGATCAGGGCTTGGTTAAGGAGGGGGCCCTCATTGATGAGGTAGTATGCCCTGGAGCCAGCAATCTTTTGGGCATCCTCCAGATTGACAATCCCACACATCTGGATGAGCTCCATATGAGGCTTAAGGCCCTCTTCGTGCCGCATTTGGCCGATTTCTTTCAAGATCGCATTGTTTTCCTGAGAAAAAATGGGAATCACCATGAGCCAGATTAAAAACCACAAACATTGACAATCCAAACGGCATATTTCTGTATGCGATCATTTCTTGACTGATTCTGATGTCTGGGTGAGCATCACACAACAGATGAGATAGCAGACAACCAGGCAACAGGTGCTAGGCACACGTCTGACACCGGTGGATTTGCAGTGATGCATGCAGCAAACTTGAATCGCTAGGGAGCTTCTAATGCACAGCTCAAGCTGTTGCCCTGTTTTCATTGGGAATAACATGCTTACAGTGTTGCTGTATCTCACACACTGGATGTGAACTCATGCACATAATTTCTGCTTGTGGTTCCAAGCAACCCGAAGCTGAACCTGATGTCGCTTGCCATTCCAAAATGATTCGGGTTGAACAATAGCATTTCCGCTTCATTCACCCTTTGCTTGTGTGAACTGCCTTGTGCATATTTTGTCTCTCCATGCATCATAGAGTAGTACAGTAGAATCCCACAAACGAGCCCGGTCTGCCAGACTCAATACCTCAATATAGGCAATGTCTGCTTAAAAATAGCGGGACAGGTGAGCACACCAGAACATACCAATGTGGCTTTGGTGGTTGTGCAGCATTCAGTGGCCCCAAACAGACATAATAGATGCAATTTGATACGACTATTGCATTTCATCCAAGAACATGAACAGGAAAAGATGCACGTCTTCCTGTACACAATCAATTGGCTTGAATCGGTCAGCGCCATTTGGCCAGAGTAGTGTGTTGGATATACCTCTGCCATATCCACAGGTGAAATTGCAGGACAAAAGCACTGACCTCATCATCGCTGACAGGTACACTGTCATGCACAAGATTGCCCACATAAGCCAAAGCGAGGTCACGCTCTTTTTCTGCCTCAGCAGCTTCCTGTTCAGCGTCTTGTATGCTCTTTTTCATCGTTTTCGATTTTTCCTGTAGGTCAGTGGTATCTTCTTTGGCCTAAGCAAAAGCACACACCCATGAACTGGATGGCTCCTTCCTCAACAAAGCAAAATTAACCACCGTTCACAAACCACAGCGTGACTGAAATGATGCACATCGTTTGCTGCGTAGGCACAGTGAAAGTGCTTTTACCAGCTCCCGCAAATGTTGTCAAAAGGACAGCTGCCCATATTCAATAGAGCGGCAATACTGCGGCTTACATGCAAAGTTCACTGACAATGAAAGCAAAGAAGATTGACATCGATGGGGTGAGCAGGCATCGCCAGATTTTCAAAAACATCTGGCAACGTTTGGCTCCAAAGGAGTTGAAATCAACTGGGATCCATGGATGCATCACTCTCTTGGTACTCAACGGCCACCAGTCGGGTTGAACAGCCATGCAACACTGAATGGTCCAAATCGGCAAAGCCTCACTCATGCCACAAAAGTCACCATCCTATCGATGGGTCACCACCGGTTGCACTGTGGCCCTACTTTCCTCAGCTTTCCGATCTCCTTGTTGAGAGCGTTGAATTCCTTTTTGAGTTGTTCCCATTGGTACTGCACTGCACAGCATGAAGGCCAATTCAGTTTCACTCTTAGTTTGCATGAACACATTTTCCAACTTCACTTGCAGATTGGGCGCAAAAACGCATGCAAGCAGTAGTGGAAATTGAACACCGTAGAATGACCTCGTGTTGATTTCAATCTAAAGCCAGGGCACCTCAAAAGGGATCCAACAGATCTGTGGAAGATCTGTCACTGCACAGCAGCATGGCTCAACGGCGTGCCATAGCAACAAGCCACCAATCCTCCTTAGCACACTCCATAAAAAGGAACAAGACACCAGTTGCCCCACAAGAAAACTGGCACTGCATAGCACTCCACTTTTGTAACGCTTAAGAGACGTTTGTGCCAGCCTCTACACTGCAGGAAAGCATCTCGCGAAACATCCTGCATGGGAGGGCGGTGCCTGCTGCACGGCATACTTTCCTTCTTGTTAAAACCAAACAATCTCCGGATCCTAAATCGGTGGATGCGGATGTGACATGGGCCACTCACAGTTCCTCCAGTTCCTGTCCAACTCGATCACCCTGTCCACGACGCCCACATCTGCGAACCGGCGCCTCTGGGACTCTCGCACCAGATCGGGGTTGCCGCCCTTCTCTATAAAGAGGCCCACACCAGGATGTCATGAATGTCCATCCCAAGCCAATGCGCCATCTGCCGCCGTCCATGATCGATGTAGCGCCCCTACCAACGCGAAAGAGGTTGATGTCAAGCATATTGTGGCCAATTCGCGACTGCGTCCCGGCGGGTTCTGGCTGCCTGCCGCCTTGTCTCTGCAACTGGAGTGTTACAAGCCGTTGGCCCGCAACCTGAAGTTGAGCGCGGCACTTGAAGCCAGGGAGAAGCTCCAGCTAATGCACATGTTGAGGAGAAAAGTGGAAATTGAAGTTCATGAAGTTCAAGCGGGCTGATCGGCCCATTGACATCGGCGGGTGAGCTTCCGTCAATGAAGTTTGCCAAATGTGGCAAAATGGAGCCCGCTCACCTTCGTCCAAGATCGATTTTACACCAACGTAGTTTTCATTTTGCCGCAACTGCAGTCTCTATTTCTAGAAGTTTGGTGTCTGGGTTTATGGCTCACAAAGAACTGAAGATATTGCTATTATTGAACAAAAGCTGGCTGCACAAGTTGGCCGTCCCAAATAGCGGTCGCGCCAAAGCACGGTTGATTGGCAATGCCGTGTTGTGAAAAGCACACGTGTTATTCCTGTGCCGACGCCTCGATCAAAAAACTACAGGCCGTGCTGTGGGCACCCTCCCGTCCAATGTGCCAACCTGTCCAACAATCCATCTGTGGCGCGATTCTGTACCCGTCCTGCTGTGCCGCTGGAGAGTGCACACACAATGCATGGACATGGAGAGATTCCCTGCTGCCGACAAGTTGATACCATGATGACTGTGACATATACGTTAGGCGTGTCTCAACTTATGAATCCATCTGTAAGGTGCTGGTAAATTGACCAATCAAAAATTTGCATTATCTCATAAAGTATGACCACAGTTGATGCCCCATTTTCATGCAGACGCTTCTCCAGACTGGCCAGAAAGCGTGGCACTGCCGTGTTGACCAACCCTGCTGCCGGATGGAAACGGGGCCGGCGTACTTTTGACAACAGGGGGCTTCCAATGCATAACCCATTGGCCAGTTTTTCAATGCCCTGCAGCTCAGGCGCAGTCCGTTCCATACCCGTTTGTGTGGAACACAAGTCTGCATTGCTCAGGGACGCTCGAATGTACACAGTGAGCGAGCTTTAAAGCTCGTCAAATTTGACGGCTGAGCCGAATCCAATCCCCCATTTGTCAGGAGAAATTTCACCACAAATACGAAACACATTATTTGAAGAACTCTGGCATCCGTTGCGCATCCATTTACATGTTGGGTAGGTGGGATCAGCAGGCAAATCATGCATTTAGTTGCCCTTCAGAACGACACCCAATTTTAAACAGTTGTTAAATTGCCGGGCACTTCAAAGAAAATGGAGTATTTTGAAACAATAGCAAGCTCACAACGTCTGAGATGTCGGGGTGCTCTTGATGCTGTTTTGGACGCCAAGAATAAAACACAGCGCAAGAGGGGTGTGGGTGTGGGTGTGGGTGTGGGTGTGGGTGTGGGTGTGGGTGTGGGTGTGGGTGTGGGTGTGGGTGTGGGTGTGGGTGTGGGTGTGGGGGGGTGGGGGTGGGGTGGGGGGGAGGATGGACTCATTCGTGGCCAGCTGAAACGCGAATGACAGAAAGCTGCAGTGACAACAGACTATCTGGGCGGGGCTGTAGCGGCAACAACACGGGTGGCATGCCCCAACTGGGCAGGTGCCACGATTTGACCAATGCAAGAACACGACCACGCATGCAGCGGGATGCAAGCATCTTCTGACTCAGTTGGGTAAGAACTTGGAAACAGGCACCGGTGTGGCTTCTGTTCCCAGATGTACAATTCACCACAGGTTTTGGATCTCATCACGCCACTGCCTGTACGCTGCAATCCACAGGGCAAATCACATATCTCTCACCACCATAGATACGGACTTGGACATGGACATGGACAAGCGGACATTAAACGCAACTTTTGATGAGCTACGAAGAGGGTGGAGACAATCAAAAACAAGAGCCGCAGTGCTGTGTGATGTTCACCATGAGCAGACATCATCACACTCTTGAAATTCACAACGTGCTACTTCTGATGTGTGCTCCGCAGCCAGTCAGATCTTCCGTTGATTACATTCGTGACAGGGCAATGCAAAGCCCTGTCGAGAGGCTTGACGATGTCGGAATCTGTCACCCAAGCACATGCATTCGTCCATTCCCACAATGTTTATTTCGGCATTCTCTGTTTTGTTAATCCCCTGCCCGATGCCAAGACAGCAATTACCATTACATTTTCATTTTCAGAATTCTTTCAATTTCTGCAAGTTTCCGTGAGTGCACACCTAGAGTCTCATCAATCTTGTCCAATCGATTGTCAACATGCTCTTGGAAAGACGACAGAAAACTCATAATTTGTGACAGCCTAGAGCTCACTAGGAGCGTGCTTTGGACACCAGCATTTGCATCCCCAGGACATAGTGATTCGTGTGCCACTGGCCCCATGCCATGCGCGCCCATTTCGTCTTCCTCCTGTGCCACATGCTCAGTTATATCGTGGCAGCTAATTCTCAATGCAGCAGGACAGCCATGCATAAACACGGATGATGGGGCTTGCAGATTCGCCATCAAACTGATTGCCAGATACCGACGGCCATCGCGGAAAGTGCACAGCCCTTGGCATCTCAATCGATGCCCATCCCCGCAATTTGGGGCCAATTCGACATATGTCACAGGCGCCAGACCCGCCTCCTCTGCTTCAAATATCCCAACAAGGGGAGGACTGTGCCTGCTTGACACAAAAACCCTTCTGCTGTGCACATGTAGCACATCTGGAATGGCAAATGGGAGCTTCATCTGAAAAGACCCCGTGGCACTGTCCATGGGTTTGAACTCCTGCATAAAAGTGCCTTTCACATTCGCTGGTGGTGCCAACTTTGCTAGCCAAAAGACACACAGTCTTGCTGGCGGAACAGTCCTGTCAACAAAATGGTCAAGTATCAGGGCCTCTGGGACTTGCGCTGGGCATCTGACAACTTCACTGTTGCTCTGGTCCCATCGACCCCTGAGGTCGATGGGATCTTCGTCCAACTCCAGGTGGTTGACAATCTTCTCGGTACTTATGGCATGCTGTACCACATCTTCAGGAGATGCCCTTCCTGTGTGGAAGGACAGCTCGGCATCGACTGTGGCAACGATGCTGCCACAGGGGCCAGCGGCAATTGATCGCAGGGGAACCCCCATTCCCAAGAGAACTGTCCTCCTTGTACGCTGGCTGGATGAAAACACAGCGAGACCTGCAGCTATAGCAGACACTACAAAATGAGCAAACCGCTGACAAGTGGGCTGAGGCACAGGTTTTGTTTTGAGTTTGCTTCACTGTACTTTTCGATCATGTGCTGTTCTTCCTGTCTTGGACAGCCATTGTCTGTGCTGAGGCTAAAAGCAGGAACAATGTGCCCATCCTTGCAAATTTGGAGATAGTGATCACCAGTCGTCCGGAAGCCAGGACAAACAGAATGGCAATTTGATGCATTGGCACTGCACTCAAAGCAGCACCAGGCCAGTTATCCTTGGAGCAGGTGATGTACATCGAAACTGCATTGTATGCGATTTCAACATAAACTGGCCACCTGGTGCTCCATACCCTCTGATACACTTCCCCATTGAATGACCTCAACAGCACCACCCCACGACGCCACCATCCTCCGTCCGTCTCCAAGCCAGGCGAATTTGGGCTTGTTGAGCAGACCACTGGCTGGGGCAGCCACAGTGTCCAGCACTTGCAAGGCCTGAGCCCTGGTGGGGTGGGCCCCCTCAGTGCTGCACACACACAGCTCAACCTGAAGAAGGGAAGGGTAGCAAATGAGAACAGGGTGCCAATGTTGGCAGGGTTCAGTATCAGGCATCTGGGTACCACTATGAGCCACAACAATGAAGCAGACAAGAAACACACGTAACAGCAGCAGCAACAAACCAACAATCACTTCACTAGGGCCGGCGGCCCATCGCAATTTTCTGGCTGGAAGCAGTGGATTCTCACGCAACAGTGAATAATAGCAATATGATAGTCCTCCATGCCTACTTGCAATGTTCACACCAGGACAGACAGCAAGATCAGACACCAAATGAGACAGCAAGACGAGCCAATCAGCAGCATGCATGTTTAGGTTGTATGGCACAATTGCCATGCCACCAGACGCGCTGCAATTTCAGTGGACTATTTTATGTCCTCAAAAAATGAGAGGGTGGTGCAGGAATGTCAACAATGCAGAGTTCCAAGTCACCATTTTTTGGCACTGAAGCACAGACTTTTTTTCTGGTCGTTCTTCACCCAGGTACACTGTGACAAACTCCTGTGCAGCTGCCTGTGCATGCCCACAGTGACAACGTTGCTTCTTTGGATGATTTTGTAGGGCGTTGCACCTACCTGGGTCACAACACCAAAGACAGAGCCATACTGAGCATTCCATGAACCCCAGCACCAGGGCAGCACATGTTTTGACTCCAGAGTCAGAGGCTTCATATCATCTCCTGCTTTTGCGTCCATGACAGCTGCGATGCTGCCAGCTAAAACAAGCAGCTTCGGTGGTTTGCAACCAGAGAGATAGAGGGAAGACACAGTCTTGGGAAAGGTCGATGCCCCACGTGGCCATGGTCTCAAAACAGCACCTGGGAATAGCAGTCGGCAAGGGCTCATCCAAGAACTGCCTCCATGGAGCCATTTCCCGCGGACATGTCATGGGCAGATATAATTGCCGATTGATGGATGCCAAGGAAACAGCCATAAATCGTCAGTGACTACCTTCACTGGATTGTAAAATTCGCTGTGTTTTCAGAGATTTCTTTCTTTGATCCTTTACTTCCATGGATGCTAGCTTCTAGTGCAGTGGTGTGCTGGAAGTGGAGGAAAGGCCCGATGTGCCTCTTGCAACACCGGCGAACCATGGGCATGTGCACACTGTTGCTCATGCTGGCCCTGAGTGGGCGGCATATTGCCCATTGCTCTGCTGTGTGTTCCTGCTGCACCCACAGACTTTTGAAGTACGCAATCGTTCGCACCTCAGAATGAGTCTCACGACCATTTTTGCTCAGGAAAGTTTTCCCAACGTGTGGCACCTGCTCTTTTTGTTACAGCAAAACTCCCACTTCTCTTTGAAACTATTATGCAATGCTGGTTACTCCACAAATTCGCGATTGTTTGCAACACTTCGATCCTGGCGCCCCCTCCCCCAACCCTTCTGAACCCCACTGGACCGCACGTTGTGTTTCCAGTGTGCAAAGAAACAATTTTGAGCCAAATTTTATAGATCCCCAATCCTGCTGTCAGGGAGACTGACTTCACCGAGTTTATTTTGTCTCCCTTCTGTATAGAAAGTGATCTTGCTCCATGCCTGAGACGCAAAACCCATCAGATTCAGATGGATGGAAGCCTTGAACTCAAGAAGCTGAAGGCGATCGAGCCCATATCAGGCTGCGATCCTCCCATGTAGTACTTTAACAATGGGATTTTGTTATCAAACAATGGGAACAAAGCGCCTAAGCATATTACCTGATGGGCCCCAGTGCATTGCTTTGTCTTATTTCCAGCTGGGTTCAAAGCTGATTTGGCGGAGCAGTGATTGTCTGGGCAACTAACAGTCACAGCTTGAATGCTACTGTCCTTACTGATCGCCTTCAGTGTGGGAGGGCTTTGTTGTCACTTGTTTTGGAGGAATGATTTCCCCGGACTTCGGGTAGTCAAAGCTCATTTCGAACACGGAGCAGGTCAGGAACGCCCAACGATGCCATTGAAGACTGCAAAGGTAGGTCCCAACCCATACCGGCGCCCTCCCGCGCCAGCCGTTGGACGTCAACCCTGTAGAGCTCCTCGCCATCCGTGCACAGCGCGACACCTTCGGCATCAACGTTGATGCACTGGCCCCCTGGACTGGGCCGAACAGCATCAGATATCTGAACGTCACACAAAGACCGCGACAGAGGAAATTCTTTGGCGCTGGCCTCCATTGGCAGCGTCCGCGGCAAGCACTGCCCGTGGTGTTGTTGTTAACCAGAACTGATTGTGTATTGCTAATAGCTGGACGCATTGGGAGGTGATGAAACAACAGGAACTGAATTAGTTGGCCATTTCTGTTAAAGTTGGCCATTTCCAGGCCATAAATGACATGGCAAATGTCTCCATCAACTTCATTTTCCCAGCATCTACCGGCAACATTTCCAGCAACATCGACTGACCACCATTAGTTACATCATCAAGAGCATATTACATCTGTAGATAGCGGCAGCATGAGGAGCGCTCAATAGGCTACAATCCGACCAGAACTGTACAAGATCAAGCTGCTCAGCAATCACAATTCCGGAACCAGTTCCAATGTACAGTTTCACTACCCTGCATAACCGACTACGCATCCGCATGCAAGGTTCCGTCCGACTTTGACGCCCAGCATGGGATAACGACATCCTCTCACACACCCACAAGCCGTCAAATGACCAGTCCGACATCCAAACACCGTCCAAGACCCCAAAACGGCAAAAGCGCACAGCAGCGCTTCCCTGCATTCTGACCATCCTGCATCGCGAGCCCCGCCTCCCAGTCCCACTGCTCAGCAGCTGGTTGGCAGTTTCCCGGCAGCCATGACCGCAACGCGATTCCGCCAGGTCGAAAGCTGGCGCTTTTTGATCGCCCAGTGGCTCGCCTTCGGCGACCTCTGGCTCTCGAGATGGTATCTCGAGAAGGCGGACTGCCCGGAAGGGTACTGGAGCTTCGGGCTCACCGTCATCCTGCCGTTCAGCGCCGAGGACGAGCAGTGGCTGCATCATCAGCGGGATCATGGCGAGGACGCCTTACGCTATCAGCTGCAGGAGCAGGCGCGCGAGGCGTACGAGCACACGGAGTCAACGCAACTGACGTCAGGACATCTGCCAGGGCCAGGGGAGAAGCCAGACTGGAACCCTGACTACAAACCGGAGGCCGTGTACCGCCCCTGGACCCTCCAGGTGCATCCCCATCCGCACCGGCCGTACACCGGCATGGGTACGCAGGCCTTTCGGCAGCGGATCGCAGCGATGATCGAGCGTGAGGGTGGTCGAGTTGAGGCCTGGCGAGGCGCCGAATTGAATTACTACAGGCGCGAGGTACACATCAGCCTCGACATCAGTGTGCCGTTCTCGGACGCGAGGTGTTGGCGCATGGAAGGTGGAGGCGTGACTCGCCGCGAGTACGCAGCGACACATCCGTCACGAGCATCTGAGGTCTTCCCGTGGGAGAAGAAAGACTTCGAGATCCAAACTGAGCCGAACGCCGCCGTACTGCCCTCGGCAGCCTTCGCGGAAGCCAGCGCAATCGTGGCGCGACGACTCAACGCGGGCAAACCACCGTACACGGCCGTCGAGGTACGCGCGGAGGAGCGCGCCTGGCGGAGGGCCATCCGGCGTCAGCGCCGGGAAGCGCGGGCGTGCGGTCAAGCCCCGGATGACGTCATGGTGGACGCGCTCAGTGAGGAGCCGCCTACGGTACCGGCAACCATCGGCGCTGCCGAGGTGACGACACCTGCCCTGCCACCCGGTTTTGATGGGACGCGCAACGAGAGGGTGATGACGCCATCGCTGCCACCGGGATTCGGTGGCTGAAGGACGCGGACTACTGAAAGTCGGTAGACGGGGCGGCGATCGTGACGGGACGAGGTGCACGCTGGCGGATGACGTGATGACTGGAGGCCGCCTGAAGCCAGCTGGCGCGTCTGGAGCTGTCCAAGAGAATCTCTGGCGGAGGAGAAGCGTGTGATGAGATTGGCTGGCATGCGGTTGTACGGGGTGGACTGTCGTGGAGTGTGTGACTGATTGGGTCGTGTCGTGTCCGGTTGGATGAATGAACGGGGAGGCATGACGAGAAGGAGTGAATGCATGGTTGCCAGTTGTACCCAAAAGACGATCCTGTAATAAATAGCCGTGGGGAGTCTGTCCCGACAGCTCTCCGGCAGGCCTCTGTGTGACTATCCCTGTGTCCCAGCCGCCTGTACCTCCCACCGTCGCGCCACAGCCCCCCGCCGGCTCGACCGCTCACCGGTCTTGCCCTCTTGCGGTACCCGCGTGTCCGCAAGCCGGCCTAAGGAGCCCCGAGGCTCTGTGGCGTCTCTCACACTCGCGCTGAGTGTTGAGTAAGACATTCGTGGGATCCGGAGTGACTGAGGGCGGCGCATTACGCAAGGCGAGCGCCGTCGCTGGTGTTGGAGTGCCGTAGCACCCTACGGGAGTGCGGATCGGCCGGTACGCGCAACGAGTGGACGCAGTGAGGACGTTGCGTCGTACAGAACTGGTGGAGACCTCTGCGGTGAGGTGCGAGATGACTATGAGCTTTCCGGGATCGCCCATAGAAGGGGTTGCCGTCATGGCGGCGTTGGCTGGCGCTGTCGAGCGGGGTGTGAGGTTCCTGGGCGCTGGCATCCAGTGGATTGGGGAACTCTTGGTGACCCTACCCGGGTGGCTGGCCTGGATGCTGAATATTGATGAGACGAAGACGAATTCCATTATAGGAGCGGTCAAAATGGTCTATAATGGCCTGGCCCTCCTCATTTTGTTCAACATGACTGCCGCCATTTTCTGCGCAATGGGGCAACTTCTGCATGGTTTCGGAGCCGAGGTAGGCTCGTTGGGAAGGGATCTGATGCTGCATGGAAGGATGAGGAGGCGCAGAGCTGAGTGGACCAAGAAGATCCCATTCTGGTTCATGTTCTTAGTTATCATGGGAATGGCTACGGAGGCGACTGCATGGTCAATGTATGAAGTACCTACGGTGAAGGAGGCATTGAAAGCTGAAAAGAACCATCTGTACACTGCCCAGAAGGGGGCACTGGTCCATCAGTCTGTCTGGGATCGAATGGCGTCTTTTTGGTGGGAGAGGCTGGTCAGAAACGACGATGACGTGGAAACGGATTTGCCTCCCAGTCCGCCAGAAGGCTATGGACAAGATTTCAAGAGCTGTGGGACAATTCGATGCAGTTTCTATGCACTCCAGGATCAGGCGATTGATTTGCTGATTGATGCCATCACAAATCCAAGGAAGATGTTTGAGAGGATACAGGATGCTGGAGTGTACGTCCTGGAGCATGGCCTACCGTGGTGGAACGAGATCCTGGGTCTATTGATCCTATGGGGTTTGATCAATCTTTTGTCAACGATCTGGATGCGGATTGAAGACATTTTTCATGCGATATACCGATGTGGATGCGCTTTTTTCCAGTCGCCGGTTTTTATTCTGTTTGGAAGATGGAAGGCCACTATCAAAGAGATGTGTGACGAAGGAAAGGAGTCAGAGGATAAGAAGGACAAGAAGAAGAAGGGAAACAAGAAACAAACTACTATGGTGAAAACTGGTGGGAAAAGTGTGAGAAAGGAGAAGGAGGGAGCTGGAGAAGTCAGTAGTTCTGACCAAAATAGCGATGAAGAGAAGCCAAGGAGGAGCAAGCAACGAAGGGAGAAGAAGCAGGAGAAGGAACAGGAATCCCAGCAAACGGCTGCAATCAAGGAGCAGCCCGCAGCAGCTGTCAAACTGGATGATGAGCGAATCTCGGAAATGATCGCCGAAGGCGTCAAGAAAGCTCTACAGAATCAAGAAGCAACTACAAGAAGGAGCAGGGCACCTACTCCCTACAAACGGCTGTGGTGCGATTTCTGCAAGAGTCCAACACATGACATCGAGTCATGTGCTACAAAGCAGCGGATTGAGCGATATAACCGGACTAAGGAAAGAGCCCAGAACGAGCCATCAACATCAGAGGACAAGGGGAAGGAGGTGGCCAAGGTGTCGTACATCGATCAAGGCAGTACAACGACCACTTTACTCTATACTCCAGCAGAGGTGGATGGACATCATCTTCGGCGCTGCATGATTGATACGGGAAGCGAAGTTAACGTCATGCCTCTTCGGGAAGCTGTCAAGAGAGGGATTGCCCATAATCCAGGGGCGATTACACAAATTATCGGCTTCAATGGCGCTGCGTCACCAGTCGTAGGCATCGCAACCTGCCAGCTCAGGGTGTCACCCTGTACGGACCAAATCAAGACTGAATTCCTGGTGACAAACGGAGTTTCTGGTGGGCCCATCCTGGGCTTCCCAGCCCTCAACAAATTGGGGCTAATAGTGGACTGTGCACAACGCGAAATCAGTGAGAGGACCTCTGGGAAAGTGGTCAGATGCGCAGCCACAACGAAACGCCCAAAAAACTAGTGTCGTCAGCAGCTGTCCAGGAAGCTGCTGGAAACGGCAACAAAGAAACAAGGAAAGGAGTGCAGCTGCAGGGCACCTGGACCTGGGGAGAAGGAGCTGCGCTGCTGGAACAATTATGGAGTTTAGAGGGATCACAGGGGATCAGTATACATACCCCTGAGTTGGTGTCTATTCTGAGCGGGAAAGCTGTTTATTTGTCACCACAGCAGTACACTCGGGTGTACTTGCCGTACAAGATTACAACCCATGGGGGGGTGTCTTTGGCAGTGGCATTGCAGCGACCGGGTCTGATTGCAGGCATTTCAGTGACTAAAGGGGGGATGATCCGCCTGAACATCTTGAATACTACGGGGGAAACCATATGTCTGACTCCAAAGACAGTCATGGTAGTAGTACGTGCGAAGCAAGTGCAAATAAAGCACCTGGGAAAAGAAATAAAAATAGTACATCAAATCAAGGGGGATGCTGGCGCTTTTGGAGATAGGTTGCGGGATGAGGTGATGCTAATGTACCCTGAAGTGGGGAACCTTTCAGAACATCCTGTAAACGCAGCTATGGCGAAGCTGGTTGTGAAAGCTACCGAAGTTACATGGAAGCAACCATCAGAACGGGGCAGCCGTACTCAGTACATTGTGGAAGAAGTTGCTGACCGAAGGAAGGTACAGGACCAGTTGGATGCTTATGTACAGAGAGGATATCTCAAGGAAGCCTCGGTGGCAGATGACCTGTACTTAAGCCCGCTGCTTCCTATCCGGAAGCCCAACGGAATGTTCCGTTTCAC